TGCTTCAGATAGGTATATTATTCAGAAAAAACAATATTTTTCTCTATTTATTCATTTTTAATCTTTAGATAAAAATAAAAATGGTAAACTTGAAGAAAAAGAATTTGCATTTTTACCTGGTAAGTTTTGCTGCTAAGTTATCGAGAATATGATAAGTTATCGAGAATATGATAAGTATTCTGTACGTTTTGTAGCAAGCGTACTAGCAGACGAAACAAATAAAGAATGGATAGAAATGGATGGAAAATGGTTAGAAGATCAAAAACGAGAATTTCATGAAATGGATGAGGATNTAACCTAATCTTAGCCTAACCTATAGGTTAGATTAGGTTAAGTTTAACCTGCAGGTCTCTGAGATAAACTGGTACGTTAGCAAACTCTAAATGATGATAATGGAAAACGAGAATTTCATGAAATGGATGAGGATAATGATGGAATCGTTAGTAAAGAAGATTTAGAGGTAAATCATAGAATATCCAACGGAAATGTGGTATTACTTTTTTTTCTCTGATTTTAAAGCATTTTATGGACCCAAGGAATAAAAGTCATATTAATAATCAAATAACTAAATTATTTTCAAAAGTTGACGATGAACCAGATGATGAACATTTATCATTAGATGAAATTGAAAATCATGCCGATATATTTATTGACTTAAGATTGCTAGATATAGAAAAAGCATTACACAATGAGTCTTAATGTTAATGTGTGCATTAGATCGTTTTTTGCTGTTTTCTATTGTTTTCTTTTAATTTAATCTATAGTGATAGAATTCTTCATCTCTTTTTCTTAAAAAAATGAAACAAAAAGAATCGTTCAAATTAAAATAAATATTTAATTGTTGGTTTGGTTTAACCCTGTGATCTTGAATTTATTTAATTTAATTGTTATTATATCATTCCAGTGATATTGTTTTCGTTATTTTCTATTTTTTTAGTTGTATCCCATACACTTTGGTTTTTTCCACCTCGAATGTTATGTTGTTCGTACAATCTTTTACTGTTCGCAGTTATTTTTCATATGTTTTTTTCTTTTTTTATTCAGTAGAAGAAACAGTATGTATAATCTGTTTGATTATTTTTTTCTGTTCTATGTTGTTGTTGTACATTCGAAAGGCTATCAAGGACGGCTGTAGATTCATAAATGAGAATAAGTATTTGTAGTCAGAAACCAGTGGTTCAAGTGATATTTTATTTTCCATTATCATCATTTAGAGTTTGCTAACGTACCAGTTTATCTCAGAGACCTGCAGGTTAAACTTAACCTAATCTAACCTATAGGTTAGGCTAAGATTAGGTTACAAAAGTTATAGGTTAGGTTAGCTTGTAGGTTGTGTTTTAATCTTTTTTCCATTTCTTTCTACTATTGCGGAAGCGAAATTTTTTTCTGATTTTGACTCACCCACGCTCTCTCACTCACCCACGAAAGGTAAAAACTCAATGACATGTATATTTACTTTTGTCAACTATGTGTGTAACGCTCTTTGTGGGTTGAAAACAAAAAATCACAGGATAGGTTAGATTAGAACTAGGTTACCGACTTCATAGGTTAGGTTAGGATTAGGTTGTGAAATTTTTTATAGGTTAGGGTATAGGTTGCCAAAAACTGGTAACCTGCAAGACTCTGGCTTATCTCCCTCTAAAATTTGTACAAAAAATTCTGAGCTTTTCTAGTTAAATAATGTTGATATAAATGAATTCTGTTGACATTCGAGCCATATTTTGTGTCGGTAATGCTATGTAATATGCGACATGGGAATTTTTAAGGAACAGCTTTGTTTTCAAGTATGCAATATAATAAAAACGTCTTTAGATCTACTTCACACGCTTTTTTGAATGCAACTATGCAGGTATAACCCAATATCGTACATTAATGTAAAAAAACGAAAAAAAACTGATTACACAAAAATAAAAGAATTGATTGACAAACATCAATTATTAATACTAGAAGCACGGAGAACATGTACAACAGAATGAGTGCTTCATATTTACAGATATAAGATGATTTCTATTTTTGCTCAGTTGTCGGTTGTGGATGAATATCTTTGACTTTACTCAAAAATGAATTTAGATAGGTGAATATACATTTGTAATCGGGCGAATTACCCATTGTTATCATATCTTGAACGTCGAGTAGTCTTGGAATTCCACCTTTTTCCCTACAATTGAGCCGAATACGTTCATGTTTTTTGATAGGAGAATAAAATAAAATGTTACACACTTACTCGGCCACTTTAAAAGCAAGTTCAAAATTTTCTTCACGATTAGTTGGTTGGAGTGAATTATAATCGAATGCATCAGGAAAAAATTTATGTGTCAATGCGCAAAATGCCATACCGTCACTCCATGAACTTGATAAATTTGTTATATTTACATTCTAAAACAGATGAGAATGAGTTTATTCGAATACTAATTGAATTTATCTACGAACTGGATAATCTCTGACTTGTGCTTGACACCATCTCATCAGTCCGTCTTTAACATTTGATGTTGATCGTATCAGGGGTACTCTGAAATAAAAATAACATTTTTTTCGTAATACAGACGTCTAGTATCACTTCGATACAGTTTAGAACTCATGCATGTACGGGAAAAGAGACTGACAACCTGAGTCCGTAGAGTCAAGGTTTTTACCTCCGTTTGTAGGATGGTGGTGCACTTGTGTTAATTTTTTGTTCAATAATTGTGGATGCACGCTGCAATAATGGTCGCCCATTATTCATTGGAGTTAATGCTGTTGGTATTGAAATGACTGGGCTTCTTTTTGTAGAATAATCGCACGTTGTAGAATTTTTTCTGTCGCCGAGTTTGGCCATCTGATCATCCATTGTAGGCGTAACAGTGGCATAATTCACATTTGGTGTATATATAACGCGATTAACAGGTTCAGATGATTGTCGTCGCATTAATACTTGGCGTTGTTGTGGTAATGAAATATTTTTTAATTTATTATCCACACGCGATGCGGATGTCACAGATGACGGAGTTGTTTGAACGGCGTTCAGTTGATTTACCATTGTGCGTACTCGACTTTTAAATACTTTTGATTGTGGTGTCGAAATCGATGGAGATTCAACTGGTGTACTATTTTGGGGACAGTCATCAGTGCTCACCGAACGGATGTATTCATCCTTTTCGAGTGGATCTAAACGATCAAGAATTTGCTTTCGACAATACATGAGCTCATCCATAATGTTATTTTTGAAAGAAGTTTTAATGCTCTTTTGTTATTTTATCAGAAAAGAGAAGGAGAGAGAGTACGTATGTTGTTTAGACATATTTTATTTCAGATAACACTTAAATGATACGGCAGAGAATGTGCATAGCTTAGTGTTTTCAAAATGCTATTCAGTCTAACTATTCTTCACTTGTCTTTCGTGCACATATTCATCACATATTCTGTTATATATATTGTTGACTTTTTGAATGAAATTATATGACCGAATAGCAAAAATTAAAACATTTTTACAATCTTTTTAAAAAAGATTGATATAACTAGTAGGAGGAAAACATTTGTATACTGTCATATTCGATATCTCGGATCCAGATGGTCAAATGCAGTATCATTAGCGGAACATGAATCCTTTCGTTTTTTAAACGTAAATTAAAAATAGAATGACTATAAAAAATATGGGTAGTCTCGGTCTGGGAACAAGGATATATTGGTAAATCTGTTTAGAACATATTTTTATAAACTTTTCACCAATACCTACAATTCATAAATAAATTGAAAATTTTTGGGCTCGCTAAACTGAAAATTATATGCCTCTATTCAAGTCGGCTTGAACAAGTGGAATTTTGTTTTTCTCAAATCCATTTTTATCATCTAGAATTGTCCGGTCGAAGACGACTTGGATAGAGGCAATTTTCAGTAAATTTGAGAATGAGCCCAAAAAGTTTCAATTGCTTGTGAGCTACAGGCATTGTGACCTAGACATTCAAAAATGTTGATTTTCATCATTTGTTGAATTGTAGGATTATTTAGCTCTTGTTAACAACCAACTAAGAACAATAGCGGCTGACGAGATCGCATTCGCAAGATTGCGCGTATGATGTTATAATACTGATACAGTATGTATTCATTCAGCATCTACACCCTAAAGGAAGAAAACAGACCACGTATGTAATCATGTAACGTAACATTCATATTCGGTATTTACAGATATAGATCTTCGTATGTAGCTATACATACCACTATATCTGTATTTATACATGTGTGTATATATGAATGTTTGAAAGAACTCAGATACTCGTTTTAGTGATGGCAGAAAGAAGATGGAGGAGTGCCCAAAATGAAAAGACATAGGTTTAGGTTACTGAGAATTTGAGTAGATTAGCAGCAGTTTTGATCATATGCGTAATTAACGAAGCATGAACGATCGTTGCTAATACATTATCTGTGTGTATTAGTGATTTCTGTTGTATCTTGATTAAACTTTATCGGCATTTATACTTAGCTGCGGTTCAAGTATCAGGCATTATTTCAGAGGTGGGCGGATGTTTTGTTGTAGCATGAGAGCGAATTAGGAGAGAAGCTTTCACCATTTAAGGTAGGAGAACGGTTTTGTTGGCTGGTATATTATAGCTTGAAATTTTGTTTCCGATTTTCTAAAATGAAATACAGACTACGTCGATTGGTAAACCCATGCTTCTTTGTTTTTTCAACGATCATTTATGCTTCGTTAACTATGTATATGATCAAAACTGCTGCTAATCTACTCACATTCTCAATAACCTCTCACTAAAACGAGTATCTGAGTTCTTTCAAACATTTATATATACACACGTGTATAAATACAGATATAGTGGTATGTATATGTGCGTAGCTACATACGGACATCGATATATGTCCGTGCTGAACGTGTGTGACGCTAGTATGAATATTGGTGGGTTTATATAAAGATACTCAGAAGTTCGTAAATATGTATCATTTATGTCTGTTTATGATACGCAATAGAAGTGGATACATTCCGTATTAGTATTATGAGATTACTCATAATTGCAGCCTAGTTCGAATAATATATTCAAGATTTTGAATACTATGAATGAGTTTTTCATCACTTTGTACTCTCATGAAGGGTAAGTATGACTATGTGCAGTGCAGGGATCCATTAATAAAATATGATTAAGAGACTGAAAAAATGACCTTTTTAAATGTCAATAAGTAGTCATATTTTGATTTATATAGAGTATCGTGACAATAAGTACAATAGAAAACGCTGTGAACTCACTGAAAAAAATATCCTTTACTTATAGGAAAAGGTTTTAGTGCACAATTACACAGACATTCTGATTTGGATTTGGACCCTGTTTTTCGATCAAAGAGTGCAAGCATTACGTGTTAAGTTACTTACCGGTTCGAATTTCTTGAGGAAGATCGTCGGATGAATTTATATCATTTTGTTTCGAGAGCATGTTTACAACATCTTCTTTATCCGTAAATTTTAGGTGTTGTTTAGGAATATTTTTCTGAAAAGTTCATATGAGATTATAAAAATTAATACAGAATAGCCAGTATTTCACACATTGATTACCTGCTGCTGTGTTTGATTTTCGTTCTTATTCTTTGCTATTATTGAATGGGGTTTCTTAATGTTTGCTTTTGTATTATTATTAACATGAATATTTTTATTTATTGCTGTTTTTAATTTGTTTTGTGTTGGTGTCAAAGTGTTGTTTGTGCCGCTAATTTTATTATTT